ATTGGGAGAAGCAGTGAAGAAAAACGTCACCACACAAATTCTACCAACTTTTTCTGTTGGTCAACCTGATTAAAGTGACCCTGCAAAGTCTATTAAATTTGTCACAATTATTTCTCTATTATAACTAGGATAAAAATAGAATAAGAAATTACTAAGAATAGAAACTCATATCTCATTTGTGGTTCTTCCTAAAACTAACTTCTGCTTTTCTCAAATCAATAATGCTACAATCACCTACTTCTTGGCTGGATAGTTCTATACAATATGGTATTCAGTGGACAACTTTGTTGATTTCTTCTATGAATTCCATTCAAGTGTATGATATGTTTTACGTTAGGTATAGTATGTAATAATTTAATATTACCTCCTTAGAGGGTATAATACCTTTCTTAATAAATAAGAAATTATTAAACACGCATTCAAGGAGTTTTAGCTACATGTTACAAATATATAGAAAAAATAAAACTCCTATAAAATGCGTACCATATATAAATTAAAATAATAAATTATCACCAATAATATCTACAGAATTCTAAGATACAGCGGCGTTTCTTAACCAGGATCTATGAATAAGCTTTGGCCCTGCAAACACTGTAAAACTGTATGTAAACTGGGGTATACAGGCATTTTTCTTGCAGAGAAGACTTTACTTGATTCTCAGAGGGGTCTTTGATCAAACACAGATTATGAACCACACTAAGAAAATTACTGGCAAGTAAAGATTTTGTCTTGTACTAAGATAACTGAAAATCGGCTTGTTCTTAACTTTATTCCTGCAACCAAAAGGAAAAAGTCGCTCATTTCCCCTAAAGAATTAAGATATTTACACCATAAAACATCTTTGGACATCCTATGGCATACAGCCAAAGTATTTCAAAAGCAATATGCTTGACAAATTGAATGCTCAAGAATATCCAAATTTTTGCCCTGGGAAAGATGGCGCATGTTCAAGTTTACTAATGACAGTTGTTCTATTACTATGCAAGGGGCACAGAATCACTCGATTTAAAAACTGACCATTTCTCATTCATTTGGCTTTAGAGACGCTCAAAAATAGATGTATTACGTGANCCTGTGGGCAGGTCTAGCTCCCACCCTAGTTGACTGACTAATCACACCCACTTGTCAAATCAGGACAAGAAAGCATTCTTCCCACTGAAAGGTGCTTTATATACTTAGGAAGGGGAGAGGGTGCCTCGTACATTACATAAGATGGGAAAAGTTATACATACAAGCTTCTTGTAACATGGCTGGCTATAATGTGGACTTTTACATGCATAAAGTAGGTTTATCTATTGGTGGCTATAAATCAGGGGGATTTGAAATATTAACAACATTGGTCTTAATGCAATTTCATTTAACCAGTCCCATGGTCAGGCAGAAGTTAGAAAATGGAGAAGGAAGAGAGAGGAGGAGGGGCGGGACGGGACCATAGTGCCTACAGAAGACGCTCATAACTAGCTGCCTCCAGTCACGTATCTGTTTTTACAACAACAGATAACAAGGTGGTCTGGAGCAAGATAAAGGTCTGAGTCAACAGGCCTCCACCCATCTTAGGAGGTCACGCCCTTCTGTGGAAGAACAGGCACCACTTTCGCCCCCAAATCAATACGGAACTCCCTCACCCCACCCAGCAAACTTGAAGTTCTTGAGACAAGGGCTCTCTCTGGCCCTCCAGCTCTCTGACCCTCACTCTCTCCCCTCTCCCCCCCCCTCTCTCTTTCTCTCTCTCTCTCCCCCCTTCCCCCCACCACCTTGGCTAGGCCCATTCTCTTCCCTGAGAATGTATCACTAATAAATCCTGCTTGCATATTAATCAGCTTGCTGGCCTTTGATTCTTAACTGTGTCCGCAAGAAGAACCGAGACTCCCCGTAACACCACTGCAACACCTCAAAGCATTTGGAGTCATCCTAGTGGAACATCATCAAAGTGGGAAGTAAAACCCCAGAAATTGCTTATGTATCTGGGAATACATTATAGATCTATCTAGTCTACAAAATGTAGTTACTATACACTGCATACTGCAGGGAATACATGCAATAGTCAAAAACTTTTACACAGCAACTATCAGGTCCAAGGCCACGTGGCTGAAGCCCAATAACATGATGTCTCTTTTTTCGATGTTTATATGAGTCATGGCGGCCACTGTCATTAGGTAGGTAGCATGAATATTTCTAAAACCACAGGCTTTGTCATAAAGAACGGAAACAAATGGGGTGACCGGTGTTAGCTCAGTTGGTTAGAGCTGATAACACCAAGGTTGCCGGTGCGATCCCAGCGTGGGCCACTGTGACCTGCGCCCTCCCTAAAAGAGTCAACTGTGCCATTGTAGCATGAAAGCAATGTGTAACCAATGACCATGGCTGTTCTCTGCCGCCCCCAAAATTTTTTTTAAAAAGAAGGGAAACAAATTTTTTCTCCCCTCACAAGCATGAGGAAGAAGACGGCCGGCAAACACGCTGACACTGTGGACGGACTCAGACCAGCTCCGGTGGCTGCCTGGGATGTACTGAGGAGTGTGGGAGCACGTGCCAGTTGGAAATATAAGTCTTCCCTCAAAACTCCTGGATGAGGATATTAAAATTTTCTAAAGCTGTAATCTGGAGGTTAGCAAATTTTTCCGCTAACTGTCCCAACTACTCAACTCTGCCGCTGTAGCACAAAAGCAGCTGTAGACAACATGCAAATGAGTGCGCCTGGCTGTGTTCCAATAAAACTTTATTCCAAAACAGACAGTGAGCCGGATGTGGCCTACCCTGGAATCATATGTGGGTATTGCTCCCTCAAAACTGCAATGCAATGATGCTATGACTAATTGTTACTCAACCAGCTGAGCTCAGATGTTAAGGTTATGGAAATCTAAGAAAGGCAGGAAAGATAAGGTATTGACTACATTAAAAAAAAAAAATCTCCATCAAGAGAAGAAAAGGTAAAAATGAGTTTAAATTGTTATGAGAGTTAACGCTAAATTAGAGGATAAACAATTTCCAGCATGGGTTGACTGGTTGATGGCTGACAACTGCTTTAAAAAAAAAAAAAGTCTTCTTTTTGGATATTTCAAGAAGAGGATATTTCCCAGAAACAATTTAGGACTAGTCCTGACAGGAAAAAGAGATTAGTTTTTATCAGTGGCTAGATCAGTGGTTCTGGAAACTAGCTCCCTACCAGAACCACCTGGAGAAGATTTTTGAATCCTGTATTAGAGTTAGGATTAGAAGTACCCAGAGTCTCTGTAATGGTTATTTTTTTTAAGCTCCCCGAACAGTTCTAATGTACTCAGTCCTGCACGCTCTAAAACCTGCTGAATATAATGAGCAGCCTGTATTCTTAAGACAAACCTCAACAAAACAGCAACAAGCAGAGGTCTTCTAATTTCTTAAGCTATTCCAGTACATTATATTGGGTTGTCGGAAAAGTCATGACGCATTTTTGCAACGAAAAACATAGAAAAAATACGTCATGACTTTTCTGACAACCCAACAGATGTCAAGTTGGATTTATTCACCCTCCAAGTATGGGGACCTCCAGGTCAGAAGACAGGCCATAGATTTTCAAAGTATCTAACTAAGCCTTAGCTGTCAAGGTCCAATTCAACTAAGAAGTTTCCATTCAGATGTCTGAACACATCAATTCACCCTGATTCCTTTCCCCTTTGAAATTCCTAGCAGCATTGGTGAACATTCATTGAGAGTGTCATCATAGATTGGCTTTTCCATGTGTTTCTCCCTATTTTTCTAAAAAGATTTTAAACATATGAATGGCAGACATCACCTTATATTTCTTTGTATTATCAACAACATTTAAAACAGGACTATGTAAAAGTTACCAATTTTTGTTAATCATAAAAAAATATTTTTGGAGAAAAGTGCTCATAATCAAGTTAGATGTTTGAGGAATCTGATGATTACTATACCCATAAAAATAAGTGAAGTCCTGATTATTCAACCAAGAGAGGTTGACAGTAATGTTCTAAGTACATATTTTTCATGCTCATGTGTCTTAACTGCAAACTTCATAAAATAAAAAAAANTGGGCCAGTGAAGCAATGTCCTCCACAACTAGACTGAAGAACAGGACGACAGCAACTTGTCTGTTCCCCTTCCCCCAATTCCCCAGCACTGTTCCCAACCCCCCAATTCCCCAATAAAAATCTTTAAAAAAAAAAAAATCCCCATCTTTAAAATATATTTCATTCACACAAGAGAATCACAGCATTGTTTCTGTAGCAATATATTAACACTGGAAAGACAGACAAGAGATTGGCTTGGCCCCTAACCAGTCATGGTACCAAATTTATGAACCCTTCCATAGAATATAATGAAGATCTCCTAAACATAATTTTTAAGTGGGAAAGGAAAAAAAAAAGTGCATAACAATATTAGATACATTACAGTGGTTAAAAAAAAAATTTGCACTGAACCCTCAGCCTTTCCACCACATAAAACTTTATATTTGAATATAGGTATATAAATGCAGAGAAAAAAGTCTGAAAAAAAAATACAACTAATATCAGTGGTGTTTTATAACACTATATTATCAAGAATTCACACATGAACGTCCATAGCAAAATCATTCACAATACCCCAAAAGAAATAACCCAAATATCCATCAACTGATGAATGGATAAATAAAATGTGGTCTATTCATGTAATGGGATATTATTCAGCCATAAAAAGGAATACAGCACTGATTCATGCTATAACTTGGGAGAATCTTGAAAACATTGTGCTAAGTGAAAGCCACACACAAAAGGCCACGTATTGCATGACTCCACTTATACAAAATGTCCAGAATAGGCAAATCTACAGAGAGAAAATTAAATCAGTGGTGGGTAAGGGCTGTGGGGAGAGGGGAAAGGGGAATAACTGCATAATGGGTAAGCAGTTTTTTTGGGGGGTGGTAAAAATGTTCTGGAATTAAATAGGGTGATGGTTCCACAAGTTTGTGAATATATTAAAACTACTGAATTGTTAAAAAAAAAAAAAAAGACAGTATTAACATATTACTTGAATGATTCTGAAAGGGGGGGGGCATGCAAGAGCCGTATGATAATTGTGCATTTCTCCACAGCTGCTCACCTCTCGTCTCTCGATCTCTTTCCTCCTCTCCTCCTCCCGCTGCCGCTCCAGCTCCCGCTGCTTTTCCAGTTGCTTCTCCAACTCCAGTTGTCTTTTGCGCTCTTGCTCCTGGCGCTCCCGCTCCTTCCGTTCCTGCTCCGCCCGCTCCAGCTGTGCCAAGCGCTCCTGCTCTTTTCGCTGTTGCTCCAGGAGAGCTTGTCTTCGTTTCTCCAGCTCGAGATTGCCACGTTCAAAATTCTCACGTTTCTTATCTTCAAATGTTACTTTAAAACAAGAAACAAAACAATTATGAAAAGTCATGATATTCAACATACCATTTGGGAAGGAAAAACTCAATGCCATATTTGAAAATTGTAGAATAAACGCAAACTAGAGCTCCCTAAGCTTCCTTTCTGCCCGTGCCCTATGAATATGCCCTCACCTAACCTCTTTGCTTACATACTGTCCCTGCCAGGATGAACGTCATATCATGGAGTTCAAAACGCCAAACACCATTTCTAGAATACTCTTTCTAAAGCAGTTCTGCATCATCACCAAATCTTTCCTTCCCTGTTGCTCTGTCCTTCCCCTTCTGCACGACCTTGCCTCAGCAGTTGACCCCGGTGTGTCTTCTGCACTAAGCGTCTTTCCCTCTCTCCCCGTAGCTTCTAACTGCACTGCTGTCTTTTATTCTAATAAAAGATTTCTGAAAGCAGGGGTAGGAAGGGAAATATCCTGTGTTTCACCCCAAAGAACCAGCTGTGCCCTCATCATTATGCAGATCGCATTCAATAAAAGTTTTTTCTAATCTGTTATTCAATTTCCTTCTTTGGGAACACCAATTACAAATTTTAGACTATTCTCGGGTCAATCTTTTTTTTTTTTTTCTTCAAATACTTGCTAACAACATATAGCCATTTTACTTTGTGGTGTTTTTTTTTTAAAGAATCCCATCCTCCATGTCTTTTACTCTGTTTTCAGCAGTGTCTATTATTCAGTTTTGTGTCTGCCTCACATGCTTCTCCTAGGAACCAACCCCGCACAAGGGAAGCGCTCACTGCCACCCTGTGTAGCATACATTCCCATTGTTCCCCATCTATTTCAAGAACTGTCACTTCACATATTGTTTTGAGATCAGTAGCTGTGAGCATCCTTTCTTGGCTACTTCCCACATTCCTGGCTGGCTTTCACTGCTTTAGATGGACTTTCCTCACACACTGTAGTTAGGGATTAGCGATCAAAGATGCCAGGCATGCTTTGGCTTTCTTGTTCTTCTTGCTCCTTTACTGATTTCAGAGGAGGCAGCAGCCCTTTTTCTCGGCCACCTTAAAACTCAAACTCCCCTCAGCCTCAGAAAAGAATGAAGTTCACATGAGACAGTGTGGATGACTCTCAAAAATATTATGCTCAGTGAAAGAAGCCAGACATATAAGGTCACCAATTGTATAGTACCATTCATATGAAATGTCCAGAATAGGTAAATCCAGAGATAGGAAGCAGACTGCTGGTTGCCAGGGGCTGGGGAGAAGGGAAAATGGGGAGTGACTGGGTATGGAGTTTTCTTTTGGGGTGATAAAAATGTTTCAGAACTAGATAGAGGTGGTGGTGGCATAATATTGTGAATGTACTAAATGCCACTGTTATGGCCTAAATATGTTCCTCCCCCTGCCCCCAATTCATATGTTGAATGTAACCCCCAATGTGATGGTATTTGGAGGTGGGGCCTTAGTAATTAGGTTTAAGATAAGGTTATGAGGGTGTGGCCCTCATGATGACATCAGTGGCCTCGTAAGAGGAGGAAGACAGAGAGAGAGCTTTCTCTGTTCCCGGACACACAAGGAAAGGCCAAGTAAGGGCATAGCAAGAAGGTAGCCATCTGCAAGCCAAGAGGGGAGCCCTCACCAGAACCTGGATTGGATGGCATCCTGATCTTGAACTTCCTAGCCTCTAGAACTGTGAGAAATAAATTTCTGCTGTGTAAGCCACCCAAACTGTGGTATTTTATCATGGCAGCCTAAGCTGACTAAGACAACCACTGAATTGTACACTTTAAAATGATCAACTTTAAGGGCCGGCTGAGTGGCTCAGTTGGTTAAGAGCTCGCTCAAGAGTTTGAGCTCTGAGCAACAGCGGTTCGATTCCCGGCCCGAGCTGAGCAGCTGCTGAGCTGCCNAAATAAAAAGTCAGCACTTTTCAATCAAGATCAAGAAAGGAAGGGAGAGTTTCCACTTGGACTCATGCTAACGGAAGGTTACTTTTTAGCAGAGATTAGATAGGGCAGACCTTGTTTAGCACTTCCAAGCTTTCATATGAAAATATAAGTATGAAGAACTTGCTATTCCTACATCCTTCCCTCCACTTCCTCCGGCCCTTGGTCAGTGCGCTCCTTTCTTTCTCCAGCATTACATCTTGACTCCTTGCCTTCGACTGGTCAGACTTGAAAAAAATTTTGAAACACTTCTTATCCAAATCATTTTTACTTGAATGCTCGTATATAAAATATTTTTAGCCAAGTGCACATCTAGATTGTGGGAGGTTTCATTCTACATTGCAAATGTCTGCTCACACCTTTTTTTAATGCCATTTCCCGATGGCCAAGGGCACAATAGGAACAGCAGCCAGGAGCCTATAACTCTTCACTCCCTCATACATTTGCACATGACTGATCAAAGAGGAAAAAAAGCTTGAAAGGAAACAGCTTTCTATCTTATTCAAAGCCACATGACTGAACTCAATTTCTGTTTCTGTCCAGCAAAAAATGTGCTATTTATATTCAGGAAATGACTGAATATTTGCTGACTGACAAGGATGTCAAACAGATTGTTAGGAAACTGTATTTCTCCATTTCTTCCACATGAATGAAAGATACAGACAGATGACTGAACGAAACAAGAGACCAGGCTTTATTCTGTACCAGGGCAAATCATTGTTGAGCAACGAGAGACTTAATTCCAGTTCAGAGAACGTAATCCACAGTTTGCCAGGAGGCCAGTCAGAGAAAATGGATGAAAATGAGCCAGCTCCTTTATGCAGGGGTGTAACCCCAAATCATAAAAATACTTAAAGAAAAAAAGATCACTAGGTGGGGATTTCAAAAGTCATCAGAAATAGCATGGCTGCACGTACGTGGAGCTGAAGTCGGCCCAGTTGTTGGGGGTGGTGGAGGGCTCGGATGAGGCCACTGTCACAGGAGCAGGTGTCTCCCGCACGGCCAGTTTGGGTGCAGGGGTGGAGGTCGTGTCAGTCACTGGTTTGCCTGGAGCAGGAGCCTCGTTTTCTGGAATTCTCTCTGCATAGTTTGCGGGAAACCATCCTGTCTTTCCTTTTAATTCTCCGCCAAGCCATCCCGGTTCTCCAGTTTGGCTTTCATCCACCTGCAGCAAAGTTACAGGCCCATTAAAGATTTAATTCAAGTCGAACTAAATCCACCCGTCAAGACACCAAACACTCTATCAGCACAAAGTCCCAAGCCGCCGACCCTGTGAGACTGACGCAAGGCACAGACGGCTCTTCATCTTAGTCTTCTACTGAGAGGCTGGAAACATGGTTGCTAACTCAAGTTCTTATTCTTTGTGTGTGTGTGTGTGTGTGTGTGTGTGT